ACTCTTCACACATAAAGCACTCCAGCAAGCTAACGTGTTTTAGGTGTTTGGAGTGTTCCTTTAATATCTTGGCATTGGCGCATGAATGGATATTGTCTTATGAGCTGGACAGGGCAATCTTGATTGTAGACTATGGGTAGACCTATAATTTTTACAGCTTTATTTGGGAGAGTGCTGATTTTCAGTAACAGTAATATAGTATTCTGTTATGATATAGTTTCCTTTTATATAGTTAAGTACCAGATTATTCCAAATTAGAATGCTGTCAATCCAGGTCCGTCTTTTTCTTGGTGTGAGATCATTGATATACAGTATTTAGAGCTTTGCATGACCATGTAAGTGGAAACCATTGGTATTGGTGATAGATCATTCATAATTAATGTATCTAAAGATAAATAACCTCAAAATTATATTTTATCCAAGCCAATACCTCTAGTAAGTGCTGCATTAGTTCATTGACAAATTTGACCAATGTAGAGATTTTGAGATTTAAAACAATATTCCCGTTAATACTGTTCTGTCTGCCTCCATAGTTTTGCAACCAAACAAATTACTTATTGTCGGACTGTTTGGCAATGAAACATGTGGTTTTATTTTAAAGCTTCATGTGTTCAGTACATTATGTATCTAGCACATTTCATGTATCGTCTTACTAAATAGCATTATTTTTAACTTTTTTTTTTTTTCCTTGTAACAAATCCTCTAATTACCAATGTGGTCATAAAAATATGCTTTAAGTAAAGGGTCCACATTCCCGGTCGGTATGATTAACAAACATCATTTCTATCCCTTTCGTTACTACAAGTATGTAGTTTATATGTTGTGATCATTGCTGTTTATGTAAAACAAACATTCCCTTAGAAGCCTTAGCCGCAGTGCACTATGAGTCTCTTGTTTTCCCGATTGAATGTCATAAAGATAATTACGGACTTACTGATTTGCTGATCTGAACTCTTCCAGATGGCTTCCTATCCTTGTGTGCCCAGATCACAGATAATGATTACTTGGTTTGCGATCTGTCAGGCTATATTACTTAAAAAATTGCAATTAAAACATGGCATCAAACCTGCTTTTTGTGTGGCTGTTTATGACTCCTGTGTTCAGTTACACACAGTGAATATCATTATTATTATCACCTGTAGTCAGATACTATATTAACTGTATTAACTCAATTATCTCCAGGCAGAAGAAACACATATTTTACAAAACCCCAAAAGTACCCCAAAAACACATAAAATCCCCACAATTATGACATCCCTTGATAGCCCTGATCTGGGTGACCAACATATCCAAAATTCACCCAGATCAGTTCAGGGGTTCAGGAATCTTATGGAAGTCATGTATTTGACTGACCGCAGGCATGGTCCCATGCCCAAAACAGTTCCAGAGAATCAGGGCTTACGGTCGGTCTAGTTCAGTAGTTTGAAAATGAACAAACACCGAACAAAGTCAATAGTCTTGTCAATAAGCTCCAGGGTGGTTTCTGGTTCATGCAGTTGTTCGGTAATTCGAAGAGCCGCTTTGAATTGCTTTGGGTATTCGAAGTGCTACTTCATAAGTCCAAAAAGGCACAAACAGTGATTTAAACCAAGTTTCATAACAGGGGCCATAGTCACAGAGTAGGAAGCTGGCAAACAGACCCCTCCAAAACCCAGTGGCGAGGTCACTTTCGCCACATCACCCAATCCACGTTTTCTTAAATTCTACTCACCAGCATGCTTGTCTTCTGCTTTATTCTACTTACCTGTTTTTCAAGACACCTTTCTCATCTCATCTTACTAATGATCAAACTAGAATTAGATACAGTGAAACATAGCATCTGCGTTTCTGTGAATATATATATCTTGATGATAAGGGAAGATTTTTCATTGTCTTGAGGCAACATATAGCAACTCACAACTAGTTTATTGCATGTGTTATATAGCGTTATCATCTATTGCAGCTATTTTTCAACAAAGAAACTTCTAGTAAAATTTGATAAATTACATTATCCAATTGCCAGCAAGGTTTTCATATGTGATCAATTATACCCAATGAAAATATTTTTTTGTTCGGTGAGGACTATGAAAATGGGATATCTTAGAAGTAATACTTCTATAATCTGTTCATTCTTTGCCATTCCCATTGACGAGAATGGACAATTCATTATATAAATAGTGTCTTTCTTCCTAAGTCCAAATTCCTGTTTTATCTATTTAGACATTATTAAATGGACATAAAACTTCTAACTTATTCTCCGACAGATAGTAAAACTAATTCAGTCATATTATAGTTCTGTTTAGGAAATTAATAATGTTATTAGTGTTTAGTGACTCTAGTCTGCACACAGACCTCCCTGTGTTTGTTAAACCCTGTCCTCTTTTCCTCTGCAGTTTCTCTTTCTATTCTTGTTCTTCTCTCTCGCCTTCATTCTTTGGCCTTGATGCTACAATGCCTCTTGATCAGGTAAGAGCTGTCTTTTGTCTCATTTTCATCTCGTAACTTGGTGCATTGGTAAATGGTAATTTATTGCTGAAATATAATCACAACTGAAAAATATTTTGGAGAGATTTTGGTTGCATTGTCTTCCAAACCCATATCTGTCTTGGTAGCACCAGACTTTTGGTAAGTAACACACATTTGTGCGCCCTTTATCTTACAGATTTTTTTTTTTATCACCAAAACAATCACCATCAACAAAAGGAAAAGAGATCCTGTAGCATAGGTCCTATGGGAACAGAAGGTACCAAATACCTACTAGTTAAAAGAGGGACAGGTGGTGGTGACATAGAGTAGGGAGAGTCCTACAAAGCCCATTGATTGAAATAATTAGAGAGAGAAGAGTAATGACAAATACAATTGAGTAAGAAAATTTTTGAAGGGGACAGGTCTTCACCACTAATGGAAGAGCTGTAGAGGCTCCTCAGCTAAACTTACACAATGAGCGTAACTCACAGAATCTTTAGTCCATTGCTGTTACTGCAACTGAATTTCCTTAATCAGGAGTGACCTGAAATTTGAAGAATGCATTTAAGAGGTGGGGTGGGGGTTTAACCCCTTAAGGACACGTGACATGTCATGATTCCCTTTTATTCCAGAAGTTTGGTCCTTAAGGGGTTAAGTGGGCCAACCATCTTGTATTAATAGCGTTCCTTTTAACATCTCTTTACCTTATGTTTCATCTTTGTACTGTTACAAAGCATAGACCAGAGACGTTCTGTTGTGCGCTGCTAATTTACTGTTTTCTTTTGTGTTGCAGAATGTTAGAAAACATGGATAAGCCCTTGCATAAAGACAAATGCTTCCATATTTCAAAGAGGAGAAAACATTGTTTACATCTGGGCTGAATGACAGATAGTCATGTCTACTCAACGTTGTATTTTTAAAGCCATTGCTCCTGATCTGCTGCTTGGCAGCTCCCGTGCGGTCCTGTCTAAAGTTACAGTATATGCTGCATTCAGTGGAAATGTACACGTTGATCCGTAACGAGAGAATCAAACTTTTATTCTTCTCAATTCACCAAGGAACACCAGGTCAAGAAAAAGTACAAGTAAAGTCTTGGGCTAAAACCAAAGTTACCAAGAAACAATCTATTCCCTGCTGTGTAGGGGAAAACTTTTAATGTAACATCAAAAAAATCCAATAAATGAATTAACTAAAATAAAAAAATAATTTAAAAAAAAAATCACCGCAAAGGACAGAGCTGGAAAGGAGACATATTCACTACCTGACGGAGGTTATTTACAATAAAATATTTAATTCTAACAGTCTGGTTTACTTAATACAGGGATGTTATTTGTGTTAACTCAGGAATTGTGACAGCCAAAACGTGACTGTAACTCCAGAGCGGGGCCTGCTAGTTGTTCATTTTATAATAATTAGTTTCCCCTTTGTTACGCAAACTGAGGTTCAAACTAAGATTGGTACATTTTGCTGAATACATGAGAACCTTTACTCTAGTGCATTATGGGTAAGGAAAAAAGGCATGCTTTTCACGTAAAAATATGGCATTACGTTTTTGTTCTTCATGGGGAGTTTACAATAACCGTATGATACAAAGTCAATAAGATAATAGTTTTGAAAATAATATGATCACCTCAATGTATGGTAATGGATGTCTGTATAGACATACCTAAGAAACTGGTATAGAATTTGCTCAATATCTTGTTCCTATTAATATGGCACGGGTGAACAGCTACCCCTGACTTTGACTACTTAAACACAACTGAACTAATTGGTTTCAACTTTTTAGATTGTGGCTTTGCCTGCTGCATTTTATGAATAACATTTCTCTCAAACATTATGATTTCCATATTGCTAGCAAATGTATAGGTGTTATATTCATTTGGATCTCCCTAATGCTAGGAATTGTTAGAGTGGGGTGGTCACACCATAGGATGGAATCACATGCCTACATGCACACATTAAAATATGAATATCAGGATTTAGATCTAAAACCAAACGTGCAGTGATGTTTGAAGAGATAATCCAGAATACAGATAAGCAACAGCACGCACATTAAAGAATATAAGTTTAAACCTTACAAAGTTACTAAATGATCTAAAACTGTATTTGTATGTTCCTTAATCTGTATTTTGTATATATTTCGGTATTTACAGATGCATAACTGCTGAGAAATGCATCTTCCTGGTGTGCCTCCCAAATTCATCCTCCCTCCCATCCCCCCCAGAAAATCCTGGCCCTCCCATTGTTTTCATCTGGAGCACTGTCAATATCCATTTTGCCATTTTAGTTTTATTGTATTTTTCTTATTTGTTTTTTACAATCTAGATTTCATTGAGCAATTTAGACTATACAGATCTGCTATGGACGGTGAGAAGTAAAGCTGCAATATTTAAGAAATTATATGAAACATTAGATATAAAGACTAGTAAGAAAAATATTGTATAAAACATAAACTCCAGTCCCCACGGGGCCCACGGGGCAGGTGCCTCGGGCCCCCCAAGAGTAACTGGGCCCGGGGCAGCTGCCCCGTTTGCCCCGCGTTAAAGACGGCCCTGGTAACCAATATTCATAAACAGAAAAAGATAAAAACAATATACTTAAGAACAAGTTAAAGACAACATCAGTTTAAGATTATCATCTATTAATTCCACTGCAGAAAACTTAACCAGTTTGCAAAAAGATGTATAGCATACCGTACAGCTTTTGCAATACATTAAACCTATGATGTGCAGAGGTCTTTGGAAAATCTTTTTATTCTCCGTTTTTTGACCCATTTTAAGGGAGTGACAAAAAGGCAAATAAATGAATGCTTGTTTTTTGTTTATCCGTTTGTTTTTTCTTTTCCAAAAACCATGCATTTGTAATCATAAAAAAAAAAATCAAGATGGAAAAAAAAATTCTGCAGGTTAGGTTTCCTTTTAAAAGCAGTAGTTAAGCGATAACTTGTGAAAACTTAAAATAAACCTCCTGTAGTCTGTCAAACAACATTCATAACAGAACAGGCCAAAAATGCATGACCAAAATAATGGAAGATTTCACTTTAAAACACATATACCGTACAATACAATCTGTTTCAATTGATTGCAAACAACAGGTGAAAAAAAAACAAAAAACCATGAATGAATTTAGCTAGCTTCTAAAATGTCAATGTGCATGCAAGACCTCTCTCACTATCTTTATTGTAACTATAGCCATGCAGTATTCCTTTAAGTAAATCTGGAGGGGGGTAGGAGCCAGTCTGTTACCATAATCAACGTTCCGAAAAAGGGGAATAGAGTACGGCAAAGTATTACCTAGGATATGCTCCCGTCACAAGTAAACCTCCCAGAATTAGGTGCATGAAATGAACTGTCTCTGATTAACATTTGTATCCAGCATCTCAAAAAAGTAAACAAATAAATTTACATTTATATAACATATATCTCAAATTCACACTCTTTCCATCAAATCTGGATAGTTTCAAGGTCTGAATAGGATTATATTTAAAGAACAGTTGTTAAGTATTTGTGCACCAATGTAAGTGTAGGCATACTGCAATTATGTGCGGCTTTAATATTTTAATGTCATGCCTTCATTCTTTTTGATTTAGACAACTGAATTCATCCCTTTAGAGGCATTACTAAGGTTACCAAAATATGGCTGGCAGCCATCTTACTTTGTGGCAGACAAATAGGTGTCAGCTACTGTAGCAATATTTCTGTGAAAAGGATACTTATCACTTCTGTCCCTGTTTGTAGAATATTTTACATGTAACAGTAACATTAGATATTCCTTATTGTTTATATTTATTCTAGCTACTGCTATACATATTAGCTGGTCACATCAAGTTGCCATGTTTTAGTGATTTTATTTACGTTATCAGAAGTCTGTATTTCTAGCCAACAAATTATAGTTGTTACTATATTTTAGGTTTGGTCGTTCATTTTTTGGAAAGTGCCACATGATATAAGAAGCATGGGTTCTAGACACTATTAAAATAGTGTTGTGATACTGTATAATAGATCCTATAATGTTGTTATGCGAGGTGCATAGCAACCTCTGAGGGCAAGATCTGAATGACTGGCAGACAATTGGACACCATTGTAAAGCAACATAAATTTAATTATCTGTGTTAATCTTGTGAATGAAAGCATAGTGGTTTTAATGCAGAAAGCAGTGAATGCTATCAAAAGCTGCTAAGCTGCTCTTTTGATGACATTGAAAAACAATTTAGGCAGTAAAGCTGCCGCTGACTATAGAGCTGATACTCACTTAAAGAGATACTACAGTCACCAAAACAACCTTAGCTTAGTGAAGCAGTTTTGTTGTATAGATCATGCCCCTGCAGTCTCACTGCTCAATTCTTTGTCATTTACGAGTTAAATCACTTTGCTTTTACCAGCTGTAGTCATACCTCTCTGCATGTGACTTGAACAGCTTTCCAAAACACTTCCTGTAAAATGTCATCTAATGTTTAAACTTACTTATTGCATATTCTGTTTAATTCAGAATTAATGCTCTGCTAATGGCCTTTTAGACCCTACAGGAGCCTACTGTGTGTGATTAAAGATCAATTCAGGTTGCACAAAGAGAGAAAGTTAAAACGATTTACTGGTAGTTGTATGTGCACCTCTGTATCTTCCACTCTGTGTACCATGCGGTTTCTACTTACCTTAAGTTTATACACTAAACTGAGAATAATGGAGGACTGGCAAACCATTACAAATTTAAGATCTAAACCGATAACATGGAAAAAAAAGCTCAAATCTAATATCTGAAATTTCCTTGCTGATTCTCTACAATTCTCTGTAGTGCATAAACCCCATCTGTGTCAAACACTCCGTTTGCATTCCTCATGCTTTATCCTTTTGAGTTTGTGTCTTTTATATCCTCTGTTTTTCTTACACTGTAGACTTTTTATCAGTCTCACAAGAAAACAGGGATGGAAGGAAAATATAATTCAGTGTGGTAGCAGCAACATGATGTCTAAATTTCAAGTGATACTTTCTAACAGTGGAACATAATTCTGCAGTGATGTCATCAAAACGCAGCCAGAGAGACACAGCTGTGTTGCCTAAAACTGCTATGAACACTTTGCATTCAATCAAGTGTACACAGCATTTTAACTTTTTCTGCATTATTTTTTTCATTTGTTTTATTTTAATTAAAACTGTAAGACATGTATTAACATATATTTCAGATTTATGGGAAACGTTAAAAATATATGTTAATTACAGAGAAGTATTGATAAGTTCTTTAAGAAAATGCTATGCATCAACCAAGATCAGTGGATGTTTCATGTAATACTTGCTATATGAGAATGGGCTTATTTCATCACTGTGCACATAATGCCTTATGGTACCATCTATGACATCTGATAAGTTCACACATGTCAAGTGAGTGCCGGAGATGTTTGCTGCATTTTTTTCAATGTTGTCAACCTTTCTGGCAATCACACAGTTAATATTTATCAAGTAGTGAACATAAAATGGCTTTGTGATATCTGTAGTGCCTTATGCCTAAAATCTCAGCGCATAATGTATAATTGACTCAATGATGTTTAGTAACATAACATGCTGTAAAGTAGATACGTGTTATTTGTGAGTGGGAGAATGTTACTGTACACTGTCAGCGAATAATTATTTCATACAGTTCTATAGATTCCATCAAATTCTCAGTGACGTGGATTGTAAATTGTACTCTTCATAAAACACAAATGAGACGGTTTAGAGGGTAAATCCTTATTGCTTACATGGTGGTAGCTTATCAGAACTTTGTATATTCCAAATGTTATCTAATCCGCAAAGAAATTGCTTGGCGTCATGTATAAAGAGCAATCTTGGGGTGGTGTTCTAAATTGGAGCAATCAGAAGGAGAGTTTGGTTAAATTCCATGATAATTTATCCAATTTTAGAACTTTTTGGTGTAAAGGAAAGAAAAACTATGAAAGAAATGTTAATTTATTAGACAAGCTAGTGTATACATTGTAGCTGTTAATAAGAACAATTCTAGAGCAAATTTAAAGAATACAAAGTGGTGCCATCGGCACGAACATTCTGTCGGCTTCCATGGTGAGCGTTACACCTAGAACTTTAAATGCTTTTCATACATAAACATGAAGAGAGTATTTATCAAGACAAAATAGATTATTCATGGGGGGGGGGGAAGCTAACTATAATCAATCACCATGGAAACCAACAGAATGTGTCTCAAAATGTAGCACTTTGCTCCAAATTAGCATTAGTTTGCCTTCATAAATCTTCACCCAAATGTTTTAATCCCACATTAGATATTTTTTTAAGTACATTTGATAATAGAGTAACTAATCATATTTATTTATCTATTTTAATAAAATATGAATTAGCTCTGTTTGTTCATAATTGTTTTCTCTATTTTTAACATTTAGTTGTGCCCAATTCAATGCAGTTCTAACTAACTTTGATATATAAATATGACATATTTCATGTCTGAACAAATGTTTTTGAAATTTGATTTACTAGATAGCCAAATTATATTCCAAACTAGATGGGCATATTTATGAAGACAAAACTGGAGCAATTCTGAGTTACAGCTCCAGTGTAAAACTGTTGAAATGTTTCTAATGCTTGCTCCTCGTATAGAACCCATCTTAGAATTGATCCAGTTCTCTCTCTCTCTCTCTCTCGAGAGAGAGAGAGAGAGAGAGAGAGAGAGAGAATTGTTCCACAAATGTTGATAGCTATTCAAAACTAGGAATAGGCAACAGAGCTTCCAATTGGCTCATCTAATTTTAGCATATTGTATCACCATCAATCAAAATGTCGCCTTCTGATCACAGTTTTGAACATGACATCCTACCCTCATTAGCAGCTTCTCTAATATATGGTTAAGTAAATAATTGCCATCACAAACACTCCATCATGGTATCTTTCTTCATTTGTATATACTGACTGAGGTCCCTCGTACTTGAACCTTCACCCTTTGCCATTGAAAGTGAGGTCCACCTCAGACTTGTGAGGTAGGAGTAGATTTCACAGAGGTAAAGGTGTTAACAGGTTATCAAGTTAAGGGATATCTATAATGTACAATAATTATGTTTCTTTTTTTCAGAGACATCAATGGTTGTTAAGTAATATACTTTTGATGGTTTAAACCTGTCGTGTTGGCTTGCTCCCTTTTTTTCTTATGTTTGCAAATTGTACCAAACCCTGTTAAAGTCAACAGGTCCCACCATCATCCCTGAATTATAAACCATCTAATGTACTGTATTTCTTCATGCAGTGAATTGCACGACAAGAGTGCCACTGTACCTTCTATTTCTTCTGCTAGCTAATTCACATAGTGGTTTGAAAAAATGAATACTGTACATAATTATATTATTGATGTATATAGTAGACTGTTTTAGCATACAAAAGTGTACTTCCTTTGAATAAGGAAATGGAAATGATCTATACTGCTCATTAAAATGTACAATTTGATTTTGTACTATGCTTCTGCCTAATAGCCACTTGTATATTTTGTGTTTTTTTTATATTATGGTTTTTAATTTCATTGTATTTGGGGAAATGTGTCTTCTGACACGAACTGCTGATTAGAATGAAGATGTGTTGATCCAATTTTCCAACCTCTGGTACTCTTCATGAATTAATAATTTAAAAATAAAATTGTGTGTTTGTTTATATTTTACTTATTTCATCATGCATTTTAACTTGTTATGTGAACTGGGTCTACCTCCTCTTTTGCTAACAACTACAGCTTGACATTTTATAGTTGTGTTCCTACCAATCATTTCCATAATGGTCAAGATATTAACAAAGTCCCTCATCAGATAAAATTAAGTCCATATTTCTCCTCTGTGTGCCTCCTACTATATGTAGATATGGAGTATTGTTTTTCATGAACTTTATGTAGAAAGCATGTAAGATGAAACCAAACAGCTCTTTCAAATAATGCATATGATCCTCAACGCTCCATAGAGATAGGCAATAGATAAATTTATTTTAAAAAAATCAATGTAATGACAAGAAAAAAAGACTTGGGAATGATCCCCAATATATAACGTTAAAAATATAGGGACTACAGTAACTTCCTCTGTGCACATAAGAAACAGTGAATTAAAGACACCTCAGGGTACAGGCATGACATTCTTTATTTTAATCTTTATTTGCATGTTATACCCTTTAGAGCAGGGTTGTCAAACATGCGGCCCCCCCAGATGTTGCTGAACTACAACTCCCATGATTCTTTCAATGAAACAGATAACCAGGGAATCATGGGAGTTGTAGTTCAGCAACATCTGGGGGGCCGCATGTTTGACAACCCTGCTTTAGAGGTTTGTCTCAGCCCTAGGACAAAATTAGGTAATGGGACCCCTCTGTCCAGTCCTGTGTAACCTCTTACCTCCCTTATACTCTGAATGATCCCCAATATGTAACTAACACAGTCAAACATCCCAAAAAAAACAACAAAAAAAACATTCTGCCAGTGGTTGGAAAATGCAGGGCTGAAAGACAGCACTGAGGCATTATTCCTAGCAGAACAGGAACAGGCACCCACCAGGGGTCTACAACACCAGGCAAGACCCAAGGTGCAGACTGTGTAAAGGGGCCTCTGAGAAAATCCACCACATAGTGGCTGATTTCAAGATGTTAGCATGAACCGCATGCACTAAGAGACACAACTAAATTGCTGGGATTGTGTCCCGAAACATCTGCACAGAATATGGGCTGGGCTTCCTAAATCCAGATTGGAGATACCACAAAGGGTAGTTGAGAATGACAGAAAAGCAAGTACTGGCCAACCAATCTGACATCTTGATGGTAGACAAGGAGCGGAAGACTGCAGTAGTACTGGATGTGGCAATACCCAGTGACTATAACATCCAGAAGAGAGAACTTTAGAACATGGACAAATCCCAACGACTGAAAGCAGAGCTAGAAAGGATGTAGAAAATGAAAACAGCAGTTGTCCCAGTTGTGTTAGGAACACTCTGGACTCTGACTCCCAAGTTGGGGAGTGGCTTCAACAGATTCCAGGTGGGACATCTGAGATCACAGAAGAGTGCAGTTTTCCAGAACAGCTAAGATACTGCCCAGAACCTTCAGACTCCCAGGCCTCTGGTAGAAGACCTGAGAATTAGGAATAAATATACTACCCAAGAGCGGTGAGAAAAATATTTTTATATATATATGTATGTATGTGTGTATATATATATATACATATATATAGTTGTCATCAAAATTATTCAATCCCCATTGATTGAAAATCAGGATTATTGTCAAAATCTACAGACTTTCAGTTATTTGCTATGAACACATCAAACAAAAGCATTTGAAATAGCTCCACAAAAGAATGCTTAAAGTGATTTCCCTAAATTCAACTGAAAATTCAATTTATAATGACTTCTCCAGTTATTCAACACCTTCATGGCAAGCATCTTTAGTACTTAGTAAAGCATCTATAGTACTTAGTAAATGACCTGCTGCAAATGAGATACATAGCCAGATACCAGCTTCTGGCAGCATTCCTGAGGAATCTTAGCGTATTTCTCATGAGCAATGGCCTCCAGTTCAGTAATATTCTTGGGTTTGCATGCTGCAACTGCCTTCATCAAATCCCACCACATGTTTTCTATGAAGTTCAAGTCAGGTGACTTTGATGGCCACTGCAGAATTTTCCAGGACTGCTTCTGCAACCAAGCCTTGGGGGAATTTGAGGTCCAATGACACCCAAGCTTCAGCTTCCTCACAGACGACATGACATTTTCTACTAGAATTTCTTGATACATTAATTAATCTATCTTGCTTTTTACATGCTGCCAGTTTCTAGTGCCAGAGGATACAAAGCAGCCCCAGAGCATCTCCAAGCCACCACAATGCTTAACTGTAGGAAGAGTGCTCTTTTAAAAAAATGCTTCATTCTTCATCCTCCAGACATACCGCTGATCCATTGGGCTGAAAAGTTCCACATTTGTTTAATCGCACCACAGAACAGAATCCTAAAACTTATGTGCCTTACTTTGCTCACTGAAACCTCAGTGCCTGTTGCCACCAAGTCTTGCTGCATATCTTTTGCAATCACTTGAGGGCAGTCAGTGATAGCTTCCTTTTTCTGCCCCGTCCAGGTATTGTAACCACTGTTCCTTCAATTTTGAACTTGCACACAATGCTTCCAATGATTTTTCTAGGAACATTTAGTACCTTCACTAACTTTTGGTATCCTGTTTCTTGTTTGTGAAGGGCAATAGTCTCTTCTCGTAAAGGACCATTATATTGCCAGGAAAACAAACTCGTTTTCCTGGCACTATAGTGCATTTCTCAAAGCTTTCCTATGGACGTCAGTGTCTTCTCACTGTGATTTTTACAGTGGGAAGTGCCTTTAGCTGCTGTCAATGAGACAGCCACTAGAGGCTGGATTAACCCATGTGTAAACATAGCAGTTTCTATGAAACTGCTATGTTTACTGCATGCAGGGTTAACCGTAGATGGACCTGGCACCCAAACCACTTCATTCACTGAAGTGGTCTGGGTGCCTATAATGGTCCTTTTACTTTGTGGTCCATTCTTTTGAATTAACCATATTTCTAACATGCAGTCAAATGTGACACTCAACAAACACCTAACCAGTTCAGTATTTCAGCTCAAGCACAGCTGGTGTAACTAATGAAGCCCTTGAGACAACACCTGTTTTGCATATTTGTACTGTTGTGAGGGATTCTATTCAGGGTGTTGAATAATTTTGAGACTGGAGTTGCATTTTCAGTAGAAATTTGGGAATTCACTTTAAGTATTCTCTGTGATGAGCTAGTTCCATTGCTTTTGTTTGATTTGATCATTGCAAATAGCTGAAAGTCTGTAAATTATGACATTAAACCTGATTTTCAATAGTGGATCAATAATGTTTATTACAACTGTATGTATACCACAGTTTTTGTACAGCTATCTCCAATCATTGTGCACATGAAATTACTACAATCTAAAGCGGCCAGAAACTGGTTATGCTAGAAAGCATTCAATAGGATTGTTTTAAAAAACATATCCAATTGTATGCGTTTATCAATAGCTTCACCTGTAATGGGGTAATTTGTCCAACTTAACTCAACCAAAAACTTTCCAAACCTTCAACACTATCTACTTCACAGTAAGTCAATATCGAATAAACAGAAAACAACAGAGTAACACTGTAAGACTAACTTTCGTGAACTCACAAGAAAATAGCTTCTCCATCTTGGATAAATCCAGATTCCTGAGATCCACCTAGACACGTATCTGCCTCCATTAGATATTTAGCATGAACCTAGACCGTAGCATATAGAATAAAAAAAAAAAAAAAATGCAGGATGCCAACAATCTATAAAATAAATAGTCTAATTATTGCACATAACTGATATAAAAGCAAAGACTGCACAACAATAAACACTTTGTGTCAGTATACAATCCCCCAATCCCAGTTTCCTCAACTATTCGTGTTTAATCTGGGATTATGATTTCTTCAGGGTGTGATGGAGTCAATATTCTAAATAAAATACCATGAAAACAAATGTTTACCAATTTCTCATACAAAAAAAGACCGCGAGAATCTATCTCCTCGACAATCATAATCAGGGCCGGACTGGGAAAAAAATTAGGCCCGGGAATTTTTCAATTAGAGCGGCCCCCCATGAAGGGGGCGGGGCCAGAGAGGGTGTGTTTTGTCATCACTAATGACAAGTACACCCCCTCTGAAAGTGAGCATGTTGGTTCAATGCACAGAGCCCTGCTGAAGAGCTTTGGCATTAGAAAAAGGCCCTGAATTTGTTCTGCGCAGCGCAAGCAAATGTAATAACATGCTTGCGCTGTGTTTGCTTTTAAATTGTCTCTGGTGTCTCCACAAGTGGGATACCAGAGGACAAAAGGGCCAGGAAAGTGTATGGTGCATGTGTTTGGCGCATGCTTGTGGGATTGCCTGTGTGTAGAGTGTGGTGTGGTATTGTGTAAATAGGTCAATTTTGTGGTGTAATATGTGTGGCTAGGGGCTGTAGAGAGTGCGTGTATAGGGGCATAGTGTTATAGGGGATGTAGCAAGTGTGTGCATACGGGCAGTAGTGTGTGTGTATAGGTGACGTAGTGTGTGTAGGGGTTGTAGAGAGGGTGTGTTTAGAGAATGTTGTATGTATTTGCTTACAAGGAATGTAGTGTGTGTGTAGGTGGTGCAGTGTGTGTGTAAGAGATCTAGTGTGTAAAGGACTCAGAGTGTGTATAGAAGATTGTGTGTGTGTGTAGAGGATTAAGAGTGCATATAGGGTAAGGGATCTAGCGTGTATCTGGAGCGTAATGTGTGTAGTGGTGCAGTGTGAGGGGCGCTGTAGTGTGTGTGTGTGTGTATATATATATATATATAATATATTTGGACGTATTGTATGTGTGAGGTGCGCAGTGTGTTTGTGTAAGAGGAGTGCTGTGTGTAAGGGTGTTTTTATCTGCCGTCACATTCTGGGTTTCTAATTTTATTTGTCTGTTAAGGGTTATTTTATATAATATATATGTGCTGTATATGTGTGGGAGTGAGGGTGCTGTCTGTCTGAGGGTGCTGTGTGCGTCTGGGGGTGCTGTGTGTGTCTGTGGGGTGCTGTGTGTGTGTCTGGGTGTGCTGTGTGTGTCTGGGTGCTGTTTGTGTCTGGGTGCTGTGTGTGTGTCTGGGG